GACATCTTAAAACAGCTTCGTGCTCCCGAAAAACTGGAGGCCAAACTGTTTCAGCGCATTTCCTGAAGAGTTCCTGGTTGTTGCGCATTTCTTCTGCCGCGCTCTCGAACGCTAAACTTACTTGCAACATCATTGTGTTTTCCAACGCGTTTCTAGGCTGGGATCTTGGCACGGCGATGTGCGTGTGGAGATTGGTTGATCCCAATTTGGTATCCAAAAATTGTTGGTACCGCCCAGACTGGAGCCCCGTTGGTTGCGAATATTGTTCGAAGTCCCCACCAGGGCACCCCGCCTCGAACGCCCAATGGCAGGAAACACAGAAATCTTGGGCACTTATTTTTCCACCTGCGTAGAACGATTGAAGTTGGTGCAGCAATCGTGCACCCGACTTCCGTGCGTGCTCCATTCGCTCAGTAAAATCTGGAACCTCGTACTCTGGCAGATAATCCACAAACTCCATGAAACTCAGCCGCCTCTTCTTGCCCCGACGCGCACGAGGCGCGGCCATCGCAGAGCCCACGCGGATGGCGAACACAGGGGCTGGAGAGCTGGACTCGACGCTGAGTGCCTACGTATGGAATCTGATGAGGGCGCTTACCCGAAATCCCAATGATGCCTATTCAACCCAACGATGGATGGAGTCCAAGCCTACGCTGAATGCCTACGTATGGAATCTGATGAGGGCGCTTACCCGAAATCCCAATGATGCCTATTCAACCCAACGATGGATGGAATCCAAGCCTACGCTGAATGCCTATGGAACCCAAGGAGTGATGCCGATTGGATCGAAGCCTACATTGACTGACTATGAAATCCAATGATCAATGATGACGACAACGCTAGCAATCGAACCCCATCGTCACGCAACTTCAGTATGACTTCAATCGCACATCGGGGGGCACCTGCACAGCGTCGAGTCCCAGCACCGAAATGAAAAAGCCCCGCTCCCCCGCGGGGACAAATAACAGCGCGCGCCTTTCTGCATTTGGTTTCGGGGAGAATGGCACGGAGGGGGGATGAGACGGGGGTGGGTGTGGAATGGAGGGGGGGAGGGTGAAGGGGGAGCGGGAGGAGAGGGCGAGGCACTGGCGAGGCCCCTCCCCCCATTAAGCGGTCTCTCTCCCCCGGTAAACGCAGAAAGGCAGGCGCGTAAGGCGCGGGCGGCGCCTGCGCCCCTGCTGATCAGGGGCCCCGTCCAGTCGTCTCACTGGCCAACCCTCACAAGCAGACCTGGGCTGGAGCAATCAGAATCAACGGGGGCGCGGGGCCAACAGGAGGAGGAGGAGGGGGAGGAGCCGAGGGAGGATGCGGAGGAGGACAAGAAATGAGGAGGAGGAGGAGGAGGAGGAGGTGGAGGCGCAGGAACAGGTTTTGAGGGTTCGGGTCCCGCGCGACCTGAAAAATCCCACTCCAAACCCTTTTCCTCCCTTCCGTCCCCTCCCCCCCCTCCCCCAAAAGTCTCAACGCACCTCAACGGTACCTCAACGGTAGGGCGTTGAGGTGACTTTACTTGGTTTTTTACAGGGTTTTCTCGCACCTCAACGGTACCTCAACGCAGGGACCTCAACGGTGGGGTTGGGCGCGCTGGGGAGGCGTTCCGTTCGAGTTTTTTTTTGTTTTTTTGTGCATTTGCGTTTTTTTTGTTTTCCAGGCGCTGCCCCGCAGTTTTTTTCCGAATTCATGTCGGGCCCACGTTCGGACTGTTTCATTGTCCTCCTCCTCCTCCTCATCCTCCTCCTCCCCATCGGTATCCCTCTCCTCCTTCTCCTCCTCCTCCTCCTCTTCCTCCTCCTCCTCCTCTTCCTCCTCCTCCTCCGCTGCCTCCTCCTCTCTCTCCTCGTCGCCCTCCTCATCATCCTCGTTCTCGTCCTCCTCATCGTTATTGCGAGGCCCACCCAGACCTCGCTACTGCGTGACCTTCTGCTTCTTGGCCTTACCCTTGCGCTCGGGCTTGGCGCAGTCGAGGCTCCGCTTCTTGTCCTGCGGCGCCAACAAGACAGGCGCCAACTCTCCGCCTAGCCCCTCCACCAGGAACCGCCCCTCTTCGGAATGAAGGGCGGATCGTGGCAAGAGAGACCAAGAGTGAGTGGGCCGCTGATTTGATGGCTCGCGCTCCTTCTGCTCCTGCAAGCGCTCGCGCTCCTTCTCGCGCGATGCCGCCGCGGCCATGAGCAGCCTCTGCTCCATCTCGAGGTCGCTGATCAGCGGGTCGAGCGTCGAGCTGAAGTTCTCCAGGTTGGCCGGCAAGGTGCCGATCTGGTCCTTCTTTTCGCTCTCGGCCAGCAGCGTGTTGAAGTCCGTTGTCATGATCACGCCGAACGCCTTGTTGTTCCGCACCGCCATCTCGAGCTTGTCGCTGGCATCCACCAGGGGCTGGAGAGCTGATGGCGAGTTCGCGAACGACCACTTCCCCTCGCCCTTGCTGATCTCGGCCAGCAGCATCTTGGCGTCCGAATCTGCGAGGCTGCGGCTCTGCTTGGTCAGCTTGGCGGCCGCTAGGGCTTTCTGCATCGGTGTTTTCTCTTTCTTCACCTTCTTATATTTCTCTTTCTCCTCGTCTTTCTCTGTCTCTGGTGGGGGCGTTTTACCTTTCTTCACCTTCTTATCTGGCTTGTCTGCGTCAGCCTCGGCCGCGATGGCGGCCGTCCCAGTGGCGGCCGCGCCCGCCGCCGCCGCCGCCGTCTGCGCGACGGACTCTGCAGGCGTCGGCGCCTGCACAGCAGGCGGCAGCGCAGCTGGCGCCTGCGCAGCTGGCGGCAGCGCAGCTGGCCGCAGCGCAGCTGGCGCTCCCTGCAAGCGCGGGGCCGCGGCCTGCACGGGGCACTCTCAGGATCAAACCCTCCTCCTCACCATCATCACCCTCCCTTCCTCCGTCTTTTTCCTCATCCCCATCCTCCCTCATCCGTCTCCTCCTCCTCTTGTTGTTGTTGTTCTTGGTGTTGGTGTTGCTGCTGATGTTGTTGTTGTTGTTGTTGTGGCTGTTGCTGTTGCTGTTGCTGTTGTTGTTGTTGTTGTTGTTGTTGGTGTTGTTGTAGTTGTTGTTGTTGTTGTTGTTGTTGTTGTTGTTGTTGGGGTTGTTGTTGTTGTTGTTGTTGTTGTTGTTGTTGTTGTTGTTGTTGTTGTTGTTGTTGTTGTTGTTATGCTTTGTTGTTGTGTTGTGTTGTGGTTTGTTGTTGTTGTTGGTGTGTTGTTGTTGTTGTTGTTGTTGTTGTGTTTGTTGTGTGGTTGTTGTTGTTGTTGTGGTGTTGATGTTGTTGGTGTTGTTGTGTTGTTTTTTGTTGTTGGTGTTGTCGTCCGTTGTTGTGTGTTGTGTTGTTGGTGGTGTTGCTGCTGATGTTGTGTTGGTGTTGCTGCTGCTGCTGCTGCTGTTGTTGTTGTTGTTGTTGTTGTTGTTGTTGCTGTTGTTGTTGAACATTATTACTTCTAAAGAATAATTATTGTTGGGACCCCTGGTGCGCGACCCCCCGCCAAAACCTAGGCCGCAGCTACATTTTCATCATTTTTTAGCGAAAGCTTCAGAAAAGTGAATTATTACCGGATCCGGTTGTTTTGTTGTACTCCGTTTTCCCTTGCAAAAAACACTATAAAATGAAAATTCTTGTTCTTACTAGATCAAATTGCAAGAATCCCTTGCAAAAAATAAGGTAAAGTGGACATTCGTGCGCGCAAGACGAAATCCTTCCAAAACCTTAGGTTTCGTAGCGATTTTAACATAAAAACATCAAAAACCCAATGGTTTTTTAAGAAAAATTGTCAAAATGTTCTTCCGCGCGCTTCTGGATTCGTAGGAAAACAACACTTTTTAAACATTCTTGTCAAACGGGCTTTTGCGCTTTTGTTCCTCGAACTTTCTGTTTTTTTTATTGTTTTCTTGCTTTTTCATTTGTGGTCCGTGGTGTTTCTGTCTGTTTTTTGCTAATCTTTTTCATGCGGACAACGTTTAGCGCACCTTGCAGTGGCCATCATCCCTTTTTTTTTTCTTCTATGCCGGCCTGTTGTTATTCTCTTGTTCTGATTTGTTTTTGTTTGTTATTTTTTTTGTCGCTGTTTTTTTCTATCTTTGCTTTTGTTGTTATTGGTGTGGTCTTTTGGCTTTTTGTTCTTTTTTTTTTTGTGATTATTTCTCTTGTGTTTTCTTTATTTTTACAGGTTATTCATTTTCTTATGATTTTCTTTTTGTTAGTGGTTTCTTTTGTTTTTTCTGTTGTGTTCTGTCAAATAATACCAGCGGGACACATTCGTTTTTTCTTCGTGCGCGCACGCCGAAATCTCAAAAAATCATTGGGTTTTTAAGAATTTTAGCACCGCGCATCATAAAATCACACGAATCGCACCGTAGCTCTCCTCTGGCTCTCTGTCTTGCTCTCTCTCTCTCTCTCTCTGTCTCTCTGTCTTGCTCTCTCTCTCTCTCTGTCTTGCTCTCATATCATGCGCAACAAATGCACGATGCGGGGCATATGCGGGGCCCAAACAAGTGATTAACCTCTGCGGGTGTGTACTCCACGCCAGTGTAGTATCCACGATCGTCCGCGCGCCACGAAGTGAAGTGTCCTGACGTCATAGGGCGGGAAGCTGGGTGTGGGTGGTTCCCGAGAGTCGTGTGGATGTTTGGTAGAGCTTGCATTGCCCCCCACGAAGTGGGGGTATTGGCTGGCGTCGCATGAAAACCCTGGCACTGGGGAGAACACTGAGCGTTCGGGTAAAATGATTGTTGTTGTTGTTGTTGTTGTTGTTGGTGTTGGTGTTGGTGTTGGTGTTGCTGTTGTTGTTCCTCCTCCTCTTCCTCCTCCTCCTCCTAGCTGCTGCTCCTCCTCCTCCTCCTTCTCCTCCTGCTCCTCCTCCTCCTCTTCCTGCTCCTCCTCCTCATCCTCCTCCTGCTCCTCCTCCTCACCTTTCTCATCTTCCTCTCTGCCGTCCTCCTCCTCCTCCTCCTTCTCCTCCTCCTCCTCCTCATCTCTTCCCCTTCCTCCCCGTCCTTCTCCCTCCCCCCTTCCTCGCGCCTTCGTCTTCGCCCACTCCTTCGTGTACTCCCACACCTCAGTGAACTCTTCCTTCACCCCCTCGACGACGTAAAGGTACAGGAGGTCCTTGCGCCACGGGCACCATTTCACCTGCAATGGAGGCGAGGAGGCGGCTGGGGGGAGGAGGAGGAGGGGGAGGAGGAGGAGGAGGAGGAGGAGGAGGAGGAAGAGGAGGAGGAGGCAGGAGGAGGAGGAGGAGGTGGGGGAGGAAGGAGGGGAGGAGGAGGAGGAGGTGGGGGAGGATGGAGGAGTGGGGGAGGAGGAGGCGGAGGAGGAGTGACGAGGAGGAGGAGGAGGTGGAGGAGGAGGAGGAATGGCGAGGGGTAGGTGGACAGGAGGCGGAGGAGGAGGAGGAGGAGGAGGAGGTGGAGGAGGAGGAGGAGGAGGAGGAGGAGGAGGAGGGTGCGTGACCCAGGGAGCGCCGACTGCCAGGCACATCAGCGCGTAGTTCGTCGCGTTGAGCTTGCCCTTGTGCCCGCCGCCCTCCTCCGTGATCATCTTGTTGTGGCACATGTACCTCTGGTCGCTGAACTCCGAGCGACGGAACGACTTCCTGTGGAGCTTGCTCTCGCAGACGTAGTCGTAGAACTTCTTCTCGAGCCACTTCGCGCGGAAGGCTTGCTGCTTGCTCGGCTGGCCCTTCAGCTCGTCGTATTTCTTCTTCAGCTCCTGTGACTCCTTGGTCTTCTTGTTGATGTAGCGCTGCCAGCGTCCCCCAGCAGGGTTGCCTTTCGCTCCGTTCGCCAAGAATTTGAATTCATTAGTTTTCTGATCATGCCAATACTTGTCGTCTGGATTGTTGGCGGGGTCGAGCTGAACGGACAGAATATCAGCCTCCGTCGGCTCCGTGTCAGTGTAGCAGCAGGATGTCGGGCAGTTCCAGATCGACCCCAGGTGGGTTGAGATCTCGTCAGACTCCCTCTCCGCGAGCGCCTTCGCCTTGATCATCAAGGAGTCCTCCAAGGTGATGTTTCCATTCATAGCCTGGGCGATCCAGTCTGCAGCGTCCTGCTCTGCGCGCTGTCCTGGTGGAGCTCCAGCGGGCTCTGCATCGCCATCAGCGCCCTCTGGTCCAGGTGGAGCTGCCTGTCCTGGTGGTCCAGCGGGCTCTTCATCACCAGCAGCGCCCTCTGGTCCAGGTGGAGCTGCCGCGGGATGCGCCGCCAATGCCGGTGTCCGCTGACAGATCTGGCCGACCACCGTTCCTGTGGGTCTCCTGAGGCTGCCCATGCACTCACCATTGGATCAGCCTTCTCAGTGGTTGACGGCGCTGCCGATGCAGGAGGCTCGAGCTTCTCATATCCTTCCTCCTCTGCCAGTGAAAGCTGTTCGACCCCCGCGGCGTCCTCCTTTGGCGGTGAAGTCGGCGAGAGCCGTTCAGCCTTGGCTTCAAGGTTCCCCTCCTTCCCCCTCGGGACGAGTGGCTGCTCGTCGCTGGAGGACGCCGCCTCCGTCTCCGTGTACTCCTCTTCCTCGCTGTCCGCCACCTTCAGCGATTGGAGCTCGCGCCAGACGGCTGCCGAGGCCCTCGCTGGCGGAGATTCAGCACGCTCCTACAAGCGAACACCCCACTGCTCTCTAATGCGCACGAATCTCCCCCAGTGAGGGCCACGCTAGCCCTGAGCAGCAGACGAGCCACCAGCCCGAACCTTGGAAGCGTCAGTATCCATTGTGGCCGACATGGCTCGGCCGCCCCTGCTCAAAGCCTTACCTACAGGCGTGTTCCACGCCTTGCGTGGGACCCCTGACCCCCGCGGTCGCATCTGTGATCGAGCCTTGACGAGATGGAGACGGAACGAGGAGCAGGAGGAGGAGGAGGAGGAGGAGGAGGGGGAGGGAGGGAGGGGGGAGGAGGGGGGATGCAGGAAACGGAGGAGGAGGCTCCATCATTGCCCCTCTCCCCCTGCTCCTCCTCATCCATGGGACGGTGTGAAACGGATGCTTGTATGAACTTATGAGGAGGGGACATGGGACGGGAGGGCGTATAGCAGCATCGCGTATGTATCATGGGTTCTCTCTGGTCCTCCTCCTCCTCCTCCTCCTCCTCCTCCTCCTCCTCCTACTCCTCGTTCTCCCCCTGCTCTACTTCGTTTTTGGCGAAGGGGCCAGTGGCGCGCGAGGTCTCTCGCGACGGGCCCTATTGGCCCAGAATTAACGGTTCGGGGCAGGCTCTTGAACCTCGGGGAACGCCAGGCCGAACGCGCTCAGGTGGCAGCCCGTCAAGGTTCTCTCTGGTCCTCCTCCTCCTCCTCCTCCTCCTCCTCCTCCTCCTCCTCCTCCTCGTTCTCCCCCTGCTCTACTTCGTTTTTGGCGAAGGGGCCAGTGGCGCGCGAGGTCTCTCGCCGCGGGCCTCTTGGCCCAGAATTAACGGTTAGGGGCAGGCTCTGGAAACCTCGGGGGAAAGCCAGGGCCGAAACGCGCCTCAGGTGGCAGCCCGTGTTCAAGTTCTCTCTGGTTCCTCCTCCTCCTCCTCCTCCCTCTCCTCTCCTTCCTCCTCCTCCTCGTTCTCCCCTGCTCTCTCTACTTCTTTTTGGCGAACGGGGCCAGTGGCGCGGCGATGTCTCTCGCGACGGGGCCCTATTGGCCCAGAATTAACGGTTCGGGGCAGGCTCTTGACCTCGGGCAACGACAGGCCGAAACTGCGCTCAGGTGGCAGCCCGTCAAGGTTCTCTCTGGTCCTCTCCTCCTCCTCCTCCTCCTCCTCCTCCTCCTCCTCCTCCTCCTCCTCCTCCTACTCCTCGTTCTCCCCCTGCTCTACTTCGTTTTTGGCGGGGGGCCAGTGGCGCGCGAGGTCTCTCGCGACGGGCCCTCTTGGCCCAGAATGAAAGGTTCGGGGCAGGCTCTGGAACCTCGGGGAACGCCAGGCCGAACGCGCTCAGGTCGCAGCCCGTCAAGTCGACCTGTCGAGGGGAAGGTGGCGAGGACAGGAGGTAGGTGGACACTCCAAAAGGGTTTGAGGGCTCAATGGGGTTCCAACGTCTCAACGGTGAGCCCCCGCTGGGCTCCATTGAGCCCTCAGAGTTTCAGCCCCCTTGGTGAGCGCGAGGAGGGCTCAACGCGGCTCAATGGGAGCTCAACGCATGATCAGCGTTGAGCTTCCGTTGGGCTCCATTGAACTATCAGAACTGAGCACGAGGAGGGCTCAACGCAGCTCAATGGGAGCTCAACGCAGCAGCGGTGAGCCCCCGTTGGGCCCCATTGAGCTCTCAGAATTGAGCACGAGGAGGAGGGCTCAACGCAGCTCAATGGGAGCTCAACGCATCAGCGTTGAGCCCCTGTTGGGCCCCATTGAGCTTTTAGAATTGAGCACGAGGAGGAAGGCTCAACGCAGCTCAATGGGAGCTCAACGCATCAGCGTTGAGCCCCAGGAGGGCTCAACGCGGCTCAATGGGAGTTCAACGTCTCAACGTTGAGCCCCCCTCGGGCTCCCAGAGTTTCATGGCCCCTGAACCTGCTGGGGCCGCTGCATTCCATCTGGCGGCCCCTCGTCCATGCTGTCCGTCTCGGTGGTCAGCGCCTGGGCCGCTCCCGCCGCCGCCTCCTGCGTTGCCGCCGCCTCCTCCTTGAACTTCGCCGACCGACGGCGCTTCGCTGCTGGTGCCGCCGGTGCTGCGTCCGCCGCCTCCTCTGGCGCAGCCGCCCGTGCTGCGCCCGCCGCCTCCCCTGGCGCTGCCGGTGCTGCCGGTGCTGCGCCCGCTGCCGTAGGGCGGCGCCTCTCTGGCGTAGCCGCCTCCTCTGGCGCCGACCCGTCCGCTGCGCCCGCTGCTGCAGGGCGGCGCTTCACTGGCGCAGCCGCCTCCTCTGGCGCCGATGTGTCCGATGCGCCAGCTGCTGCAGGGCGGCGCTTCGCTGGCGCAGCCGCCTCCTCGTCCTCTTCCTCCTCTTCCTCGGCGTAGTCGCCCGCCGCCGCCGCCGCAGGGCGGCGCATCTCCTTACCTGGTGCCGATTCCTCTGCTGCTGCTGGCTTCTTGCGGACGTTGCTCTCGGACTCTTCGTCTTCGTCTTCATGTTCTTCATGTTCACCATCGGGTTGCTCTTCCTCCTCCGCCTCCTCATCATGTTCATCATCATCATCCACCTCGTCATCTGCGCCGTCTCCGCTAGCCGCTGCGGGCCGCTTAGCAGGTCGCTTCTTGCTCACCCCGTCTGGCATGAACTCCCACTTGAGGTTCTCCGCCTCATCCTTGCTCAAGCCGTCGATCGCCATCCGCTCCAGGATGGCGGCCATGCCCGTCTTGGCCTTCGGGCTCAACGAGGAAGGAGGAGGAGGAGGAGGAGGAGGAGGAGGAGGAGGAAGAGAAGAGCGAGGAGGAGCGTGGACTGATGAGGAGGACGGGGGGTTTCCGCCCTCCCCAAAACTCCACAATCCTCTCACTCCCTCGTCGCCATCGTTGTCCTCCCCCCTCTTCCTCCCCCTCGTCCTCCTCCTCGCCCTCCCCCTCTCCCTTCTTTTCCTCCTTCTTTTCCTCCTTCTTTCCCTCCTCCTCGTCCTCCTCCTTTTCATCCCGAGGGCGCGCCTTATCCAGATCCCTCTCCTCGAAGCCCGTCACCGTCACCTGGAGCTTCGCGCTGGATTTGCCCTTGCACGTGCGGAAGATGCGCAGCATGTTCGACACGGCCTCCGTCTTGTCAGCGAGCTTGCGCTTCTCGGAGCATGTCACCAGCCTCCAGCCTGCACCGTCCTTCGAGTCGTCGCTGCCGATGCTCTTGATGGTGCAAGCCCCGTACGCGTTGCCCTTGCTGCGGGACTGCTGCTGAAGGTACCATTCCAGCATCTTGTTTGTGTAGTTCTGAACTTCGAACGTCATTCCGTCGGACCACTTCGCGATGACGTTGTCATCAGGATCATCGTCGCCCTCGGTCTGCAAGGGGAGGCTCTGCTCCTTCTTCGTCGTCCCACGTTTCATCCTGTAGACGACCTCTGAGAAGAGTGTAAAAAGGAGGAGGAGGGGGAGGAGGAGGAGGAGGAGGAGGACGAGGAGGAGGAGGTGACCGGTGGAGGAATAGGAGTACCACGAGGGACGGATGAGTCGAAGGTCGAGTGAGGACGGACGAGGGAAGAAGGTGGGAGGAGGACGAGGAGGGAGAGGGGGAGGAGGAGGGAGGAGGAGGCGGAGGAAGAGGGAGGAGGAGGAGGATCAAGAGAAGGAGGACCTCCTCTTCCACCTCGGACTCCGTGACGAGTTCGCCCACCCATATCCCTCTCGTGTTTGAATATCGGCCCCAGGGCGCCTGGATCATGAACTCCTGGTTTTCCTATAACTCTCTCGTCTGCTCATGCGGAGGGGATGATCAGGAGCAGGAGGAGGAGGTGGTGGAGGAGGAGGAGAAGGAGGAGTGGGAGGACCTGCTCCGACAGCACGTGCTTGAACTCATACTGGCTGGTGTCGTGCTCCGCGCAGTCGTCCGCCTGCAGCTGATCGACGACCCTCAAACCCTGAGAGCTCATCGGGGCTTAACGGGACATCAACGCATCACCGTTGAGCTGCCTAAGGGCTCCCTGAACCCTCGAGCTGCTCCAGGTCGATGCGTTGCAGTCCCAATTGAGCCCCGTTGAGCTCTCAGAGTTTAAGGTTCGTCTCACTTTATCATTCCCTCCCTCCTGGTTTTTCTTCCTTTGTCCGCCTCCTCCCTCCACGTCTCCTCCTCACCCTCCTCCCCCTCCGCCTCCTCTACCCCGTTCTCACGCCCGCCTCGAGCTTCTCGATGAAGGGCACCAGCCACTTCGGCAGCTCCGTGCCCTTCTCCGTCTGCTGTTTCTTGGCCTTGATGATGGCCTGGTTCACGTCCCTGCGCATGGCCCTGCACCTTTTGCTCATCTTCTCGCTCCAGGCGATCTTCTCGGGCCCCAGCGCCCAGTCCTCCTCGCGGTCGGAGGCGACCTGCTCGAACATCTTCGCCAGCGCTTTCTGGCTCTCCTGCGGCGCTCTCCTGCTCCTCTTGCTTCTCCTCCTCCCCCCTCCTGTTTCCTCCTCTTCCTCCTCCTCCTCCTCCTCCTCCTCCTCTTCCTCCTCCTCCTCCTCCTCCTCCCCCTGGTTGTCTTTCTCTCCTCCTCCGTCTCCTCCTCCGCCTCCTCCTCCTCCTCATCCTCCTCCTCCTCATCATCATCATCAGCATCATCATCATCATCATCATCATGATCATCATCATCATCATCATCATCATCATCATCATCATCATCATCATCACCACCATCCTCCTCATCATCATCATCATCATCATCACCCTTCGCCTAGGCGAAGGGGGAGAGGAGAGGGAGTTCCCTTTCCTCTCTCCTTGCCCTCCTGTGGCGCCGCGACCACCAGGTCGACGTAGCGCTCGAGCTTCGCCACGTCTCTGGGGCCGGTGAGCTCCTGTGGAGGAGGGGTGGTCGAGAGGAGGAGGTGGAGGGGGAGGAGAAGCAAGGATGGGGTGTCCTCGCGGTACGCAACCAGCGCACTGGACCCCAGCGCGGCCGAGATGGCCGCCACCGCTGCTGCATCGCATGCAGGCATCAAAATTGTTATGGAAGATATGGAAATGACGAGGGAGAGCGCCCACAACATAGTGGGAAATCTTGAAACCACAATGGCTTTGAGGAGGGGCAGCAGAGTCAGCAGCAGCGGCAGTAGCCGTTGACCCTCCTGGGCCCCAGATGAGACGTCCACCATCTCCGTCCGCCCCCTCCGTAAAATGCGGGGTCCCTAGGGGGGGCGCGAAGCCCCCGGGGATATCTCCCCGAGAAAGACACATGCTGTTGTGTGGCCTCATAAATACATCCTCCGCTCCACTCCTCCTGATGGTGGCGATGGCGACGCGTGAATGAACAGGGTCGAGGGCGGGTCACTGGGCAGAGCGCGAGCAAGGTAGCGGGGCATATAAGCATAAGCCAGCGCAGTACGTCACCGAGAAGAGTGAGGGGCGGGCGGCGGGGCCCTGGGATCCGAAACGTTTTCGAGAGGGACGGCCACAACAACAACAACAACAACAATACTATTCCGCACAACAAAACGCCACTTCAGCCACACGCCGAGCTCTAGACGCTGTAAGACCGTTCCACACTTGTACTCTGATGTGTATATATACACCTATATATACATATAAGCACGTATCTATGCATTTTCCTATATGTGTGTTTGCATGTACATGTACGTGCATACACATATACACGCATGCATACATTTAGACATGTATATTTGTATACACATATATACGTGTGTATATATATGATATATACATATATATCATATATACATATGTATGTATGTATGTATAAATATGTATATATAACCATATGTACACACATATATATGTATGCAAATATATACCACCTCATGATGTGCATAGTATATGATACATATAGCACATCTCATATATGGTGTATACATATATACACATATATAATGTTAAACATACACACGTGTATGTATGCGTGTGTGTATGAGTCTACATGGATGAGACGGGGCTCGGATCAGATCCAGGCGCGTGGATCAGATCCACGCGCCTGGATCAGATCCAAGGCTCCGCACGCCTCCGGATCAGATCCGAGGGTTTGGATCAGATTTGAGCATCAAAAAAACCCCGGATCAGATCCGCTGATCCTAGCAACCCCAGGGTTAAGGGAGGAAGACGACATCGCCGACCACATCCAGCAGCACTTCTCAGGCGTAGAGATGGGCAAGGCTGCACAACCACAGGCTCTGGTTGACGATTACAATCATATGTTGCCCCTTCTCGACACAACATTCCATCGTGATGTTACAGTTGTTCCTACCATCTACGACGTAGAAGCGGGCCTTGCGAGGCTAAAAACTGGACGAGTCTCTGGGACCGATGGCTTCCGAGCAGAATATGGTAAGGCAGCCTCGAAAGAATTGGCAAGGCTCGTGGCTCCCTTGTTAGTCACGACAGCCATGGCTGCTAGGGAACCAATTGCATTTAAATCCGCACGACTAGGCACTTTTCCCAAAGGTTCTGGAGATTTCACGTTGGCCGCCTCTCGTCGGAGCATTCTGGTTTCCCCAGTTATTACTAATATGTATCATAAATATCTAAGGAGTCTTGCCATGGACTACTTTTATGCTTCAGTGCTATCAGTGCAGATGGGAGGAATACCTGGTCGGGGGTGAGACATTGCTGTCCTCACTTCGCGCTTGCTTTTTCAACTTGCTGAAATCCATGGGCTTTCGGCTGGAGCTCTACTTCTGGACCTGAAAAACGCGTTTTACACCACCTTGAGGCAGCTGGTCTTGGCGCTCCCACAAGACAGCGAGGATGTCGAGTATGTGCTTGCTCATATGGATTTGCCCCCCCCCCCCCCCTCCCCCCCTACTGTTAGAAGGGCTTAAGTCCCAACGTGCTACCAAGCCGATGTTTGAGGATCGGATTCCATCCGAACATCTACTGGCCCTCATTAAAGAGAGTCAGCGGGGGGCTTTCTGGAGAGTTGCTTCGGCTTCTAACTATACCCTGCCTCGTAGAGGCACCAGGCCAGGCACCGTTTTCCCCACGGATATGTTTAACGTTGTTTTCCAGGGTGATCATTCTGATATCAATCGGGAGCTCCATGATGTGTATGATTTTCTGGCTTTGTTTGGTTTACCCACCACTGAGCTATTTTTGGCGAGAGAAGCACAACTTGACACCAGAGAGTGGGGGACCTCCTTCGTGGATGATCTCACCCAGCCCTTTGTCACCTCGGAAGCGGGACAGCTTCTAATGATTGCGCAGAGGGTGCTTGATGCTGTGTATCAAGCCTGCTGCATTCGCGGTTTAATCCCTAACGCTGCCAAAACGGTTTTCATTTTAGCTTTTCGGGGAAAGGGTTCGATGGCAGCGAGACTGGATAAGAACGGAGACCCTCATCTCCATGTCAGGTCTGCCGCATGGGACTTTCAAGCCAAGATTGTCACTGATCACCGTGTGCTAGGGTCCTTCCTTTCCCCCGCCAACAGCATGGCCACGGAAATAGTTGCAAGATGCCACGGGGCCAAGTCAGCTTTAGCCCCCATCAAGAAGGTCATCGGACCTAGAGGAATGCTCGGCATTCGTAAAAAGGTGCTGTATGCAGAATGTTTGGCTAGCTCCGTGCTGCTTTACAATGCAGCAACTTGGCTCGAACTCCCACAGAATTTGTGGAAAAAAGTGCGCATCACACATGAACAGATTTATCGTGCGGCTTTGCATCTTCCGTGCGCCAACAACTCAGAAGAACAAGTCAATTACTTTGAGGTGTTGGGCCAAGTTTCCCGCCTTCCTCTTAACGTTGTGCTTTCGGTGGCACGCCTTAGGTTACTAGCTCGACTCATGGCTGGTTGCCCCGACATCCTGTGCGTTTGTTTGCAATATCTTTGTGAGCCAATAAGAGGCTGGATGGCTCTTATTGAGGCTGACCTGGGCTGGCTCACCTCTTTCCTTGATCCAAGCAAATGTCCGCAGGACAACACTGTGCCCAGCTGGATCAGGATTATCAAAGACAGCCCTAAGGCCTTTCGTTCCACCTTGAAGACTGTTGCCTCCAGAGCAGTACGATTCTGGAACGACCAGTTCCACCTAGAGGCATGGAACAGGAGGTGCAGGCAGCACCTTAGGGGGTCCCCTCTAGAGAAGCAGGTTGGGCCTGCGCCCACAGTGAAGTGCCCCCATTGTTCTGCAGCTTTTGTTTCTGAACGTGATTATCACGTCCATTTGGGCAAGTTTCATGCTCCCCACAGTGCGCCCAAAAACTTTGTGGCGGGGACTTGCTGCCAGGTTTGCTGTAAAGATTTTCACACTCCTGGGAGGCTCCACAAACATGTTTCCAGAGTTGCGCGTTGTCGTCAGGCCTGGTTTTTCTCGGGGCGTTGTCTTGGGGATGAGACGGCCATTGCTGCGAATATGCTCGAGATTAGGGAGCAATCCGCTGCGAATCGCAAATCTGGCAAGCAAGATCATCAAGCGGTCAAGCCACCCAAACGATTGTTTGGACCCCCCATTGCACTACCAGGACAAGGGCAGCAGCTACCACAGTTCGATGCGCCTGAAGAGGTACCACCACCACCACCGCCGCCAGTATTCAGCCCCTTGCGGGCACCATGCAGGTCACAGATGTACATTTTACATCTCTTTTCAGGTTATCGACGACAGGACGACTTTCAACACCAGGTGGAAGTGGCGTTAGAGCGGTTCCAGGCTAATATTATTGTGTTATCTATTGATGTCATTAATCACCCTGTTGGGGGGACTTAACCAACGATAACTCTGTGCTAATGTGGATTCGTTTGGCTAAATCAGGACGCGTGGCTGGGGTCATGGCAGGTCCCCCCTGCGAAACTTGGTCGATTGCTCGTTTCAGGGAACCGGTCCAAGGAGCCCGTGAGCCCCGTGCGAGACCCCCCAGACCTCTAAGGCTTGCTTCACAGCTGTGGGGCTTACCGTTTGTTTCTGGACGTGAGTCTGATCAGCTCTCTCTTGGAAACAGACTTTTGAGAGCCACCCTTGAGTTTGCCGTGGTTTGTTGGAGGATGCTTATTCCAGAAGTTGTGGAGCACCCAGCAGAGCCTTGGAGTCCCCCAGAGGCCCCAAGTTCTTGGCACTTGGAGCTCACCAAAGAACTCCTTCAGCAACCAGGAGTGGAGAAGCACAAAATACACCAATGTGCTTTTGGGGCCCCCTCGCGCAAACCTACGTGCCTCATGGGCGTGCATGTTGGTGCCCTTCGGGAAGCCCTTCGGGCTAGACCTCAAGGAGTCCTATGTAACCATCATATGGGGCACGTTGCTCTGGAAGGTGAGGATCTGCAGGGAGTTTGGAGCACCGCACATGCAAGAATCTACCCCAAAGGACTATGCGAACTTCTGGGGAGGGCCTTCGCTCAGGAGGCATGGGTAAAGTTTCCCTGGTTATTTGGTACTCCCCCACCGCCACTACCTACTCCAGCACCGACTTTGACGACACGAAGGTTACGATACAAACAACCACCACGACCCAAAGTGCGGGTACATGTCGATAGACTGCGACAAGAAGGATGGAATACAAACTTTGTACCTACAGATACGCAACATGTGTGGACGTATGAAGATGAGTTATGGTTAAGACAGCAATATAATCTTGACGAGACATGCGATGAGTGGTTACCAACATCATTGCGAAGGTACTACGTGCCACTGGACCCGTATATGGACACGAGAATGATTGGTATGGATTGCATGCGACAAAATAGGCCAGACAGAGAGGATGCAGGGCAGAGCTAACTCACTTTCTTCTATCTTGCTCTCCCCCTGCTCACCTGATGTCGCGCCTAACAGCAACTTTGTAAGCCTCTTGGGGCCTCACCAGTATAGTGTAGGGACCAGAGGTAAGTGAAGGGCTGGACTATGAAGGTGATGCCGTGCCCGCCCAGGTGCCGCCAGTGTACACTCACTATAAAAAGTAGTAGTAGTCCAGTGCTGTACACTTGGTTTATAGCTCGACAATGTCAGTAGCTGGCCCTCTGGGGGCGAAGGCTTCTTTTCCAAACCCCTTACCTATTTTCTTTTTCCCTCTTGCAGTGTACGCCCACTTTAAAAGGCAGTAGCCCATACTGCACTACATGATCTGGGAGGGAGAGGGTTGAGTGGGTAGTTATTGGTTGGGTTCCATGACCGATGGCTGCAATCTCACCTGTCTCTTGCCCTGTACGGCCTGGTGCAGCTGTGAGGCTGCACAGAGCCGAGGAGTTACACTGTTGCTGCTGGCTGCTGGCTCTGCTGCCGCCGCCGCTCTTACCCCCCATCCCCTCTTTTTGCCGTCCACCCTCTGTGATTGGGCTTCCACTCTCTGCCCTAAAGCCGCGAACGAACGAACGAGGAGGAGGGAGGGACGGAGGCAAAGGGCGAGGGGGACGTCAGATACACGAAGGTGAGCAGGTAGGCCGTCGACGCGATGACGAAGGCCGTCCTCTCCTGGGGGCCGCCCCGCCGCACCGCGCCGCGGCGGCGCCCCCCCCCGCCCCTGGCAAGGGAGTGCCCCCTTCGGGAGAGGGGGGGGAGGGTTCTCTCTGAAGGAACTCGCCCTCCTTCAATCCCTCTTCCTTGTGAATGATTACTCCCTGTCGCACCCCTTATATATAACTCCTCCTCCTCCTCCTTCTCCTCCTCCTCCTCCTCCTGGAGCCTTCTCCCCCAGCATCCCCCTTCCCTGTAACTAACTCCTCCCTGTCGCACCCTCAGACGTGTTGGCATGGCGGGCCAGGCGTTTCGCCTGAGACTTCCTCACCATTCATGATCCTGAAGCTTGACATGTGCAACAATTTCACGGATGAAGAACACAAACAAAAAAAAAAAAAAAAAAAAAAAAAAGTGGAAAAAAAGAAAAAAAAAAAAAAAAATACGAAAAAAGAATCAAAAACGAACATCACCCCGACCCCGCCACACAACCCACGACCCCCACCTCCCCCGCGTACAACAAACACCCCACCCACTCACTCAAAACATGTAGTGCCCCCTTCATTGTCCCTACATCAACACAGGGCGCTCCCGCTTACACATTTTGGCTCTAGTCTTAGCGCCGCGCACATTATTGTCGTTTGAAATGCAAGAGCCTTCAACGAATGGGGGGGGGCGTCCCACTTTGGGGGGGGTGCTCTCGCCGTACCGCCGCGCGCACTCGTCTTAACAATGTCCATGAACTTAGCGGATGGAGGGCGGCCCGCTATAAACATGTGGCTCTCGCCTTAGCGCCGCGCGCATTCGTTTCAAACATACGCGAGAGCTTCACACATGGGTGTGTGTGTGTCAAAATTCAACAACGACTGGGGTACTGCGCGCTCCGGCCGGGCCAGCAATTTCCGTACCCCGGCAGGCGCTGCCGGGGTACGGCGGTTTCCCCCCCTGGGCCGGGGAGGAGGCCGTACCCTGGCAGGCCCTGCCGAGGTACGGCGCACTCCGGCCGGGCCAGCAATTTCCGTTACGCCTCCATGTCATGGAGGGCCGCCCGTTTTCAAAATGTGGCTCTCGCCTTGGCGCCGCGCACACCACTCCAAAAAATGGCAAGAACTTGGCGGATGGAGGGCGGCCCGCTTTCAAAATGTGGCTCTCGCCTTAGCGTCGCGCACACTCGTCTTAAGAATTAGTAGCCGTTACAAAGATTCTCATGGTGGGTGTAACAAAAAAGATGTGGCACGTTGTCGGAATGTCAGGACGCAGCAGTCACCTTAATTCGCTGTTTCGAATCCCAGGAGTGGTGTCCTGGCACGATTCCGGATCGTCAAGATGCAACAAGAACAATAATTCGCGGCGTTGAAGTCCAAGGAATGGTATTATGGCACATATTTGGAATTTCAAATAACTGTCTTCCAAAGGGACGTTTCCCTCAATGAAAAAGAACCCTCGCTGGGGCCTGAGGAGGAAAGCAGGAGTGAGGGTTTATCGCAATATCTCTGATGAATCTTAAGTTTGCCTTGATCCTGCTCCTCCTCTTCGCCCTCCTCCTGCTCGCTGTGCTGGTCGTTCTCCTCCTCCTCCTCCTCTTCCTCCTCCTCCTTTTCCTCCTCTTCCTCCTTTTCCTCCTTGTCCTCCTCCTCCTCCTGGTTTTCCTCCTCCTCCTCCACATCCTCGTCCTCCTCCTCTTAGCCCTGCTCCTCCTCTTCCTCCTCCGCCTAAACCTCCTCCTATTCCTCCTCCTCTTTTTCCTCCTCGTTTTCATCCTCCTCTTCATCTCTATCTCATCACCACCATCATCATCATCATCATCATCATCATCATCATCATCATCATCATCATCAGCAGCAGCATCAGCATCAGCATCAGCATCAGCATCAGCATCAGCATCAGCATCATCATAATCATCATCACCATCATTATCATCATCATCATCATCATCATCATCATCATCATCATCATCATCATCATCGTCATCTGCATCATCCTCGTCATCTTCGTCCTCATCCAAATCATCAGAAATCACCATCACCATCATCATCACCATCATCATCATCATCATCATCATCATCAGCATCATCATCATCATCATCATCGTTGTCGTTACCATCATCGCCATCATCACCACCACCCGCAACAAAACCACGACCACCGTCATCCGCAGCATCTTCATGGTTGATGTATATTCATCCTCTTCCCACCACCACCCTCCTCCTCTTCCTCCTCCTCCTCCTCCTCGTCCTCGTCTTCCACCTCCTCCTCCTCCTCCACCTCCTCCTCTTCTTCCTCCTCCTCTTCCTCCTCCTTTCCCTCCTCCTCTTCTCCTCCTCCTCCTCTTCCTCATCCTCCTTCTCTGACTCTGAATGTTACACTTGTATCATCGATGTGCGCACAAAACGGTGCGATAGCAGTAAAAAGGGGAAGAGTGGGGCGACGGCGATTCCCCTTTTATGGGTGGAGGTGCGGGGGGCCCTGTGCGCAGGGCACCTGCCATTCCTAAGAACTTGATGCCCCAGGGTGGTTGTGGGTGGGTTTTTCGGATGCGGCCGAGTGCATGAGCCCAAATGGCAACAGACGTCGGGCAGGAAAGAGGATGCACATTCGCGTTGGCGCACGGGGGCGCATCGTCGATGAGCCCTACAGAGGCTGCGATAGCAGTAAAACGGGAAGAGTGAGGTGACGGCGATTCCCCTCGCACGGTTGGCGATGCCCGGGGCCCTGTGCGCAGGGTACCTGCCATCCCCAGGAACGTGCTGCCCACTCTCCCCGATGGAAGTGATTCATCCGTAAAGCTGCGTGTGGGGGGGTGAGAGACGAGCCCAATATTAATCTGGCCTAGAGGGGAAAAGAGGAAGCCAGCCACCCCCGCACCAAACACTGCTAGTGTCTGGGGTGCCCCGCCCCCTCCCCTCGCCCTGCGCGAGCGCCGTCTGGGCGCGGGCCGACTGCCGCGGGCGCCCGACGCGGGCCGAGGCGGCAGCGGTCGTGGGGCGCCTGGCTGGCCCCCGCTTGATGGCAGCGTTCTCGCGCGAGGGTCGCCCTTGCAAGCGGGCGCGAAAGGGAGAGGCGCGGACCCGGAGGCCTGGCCCTCCGCGAGCGCCCCCCCCCCCCCTCCCCGCGCGCGGCGGAAGGGGAAGGGGGGGGGGGGGGGCGGGCGCCTTCGCCCGGGATGACGCCCACTGGCGACAAATGTTCAGGCGCGACCTGGAGGCACGCGGGCGCGCGCGAGCGAGGGCCCCCAGCGCGCCAGTCGGGATCGCGCGACGAGCCCGCAGTCTCGACGGCGCGACGATCAGACAGAGAACGGGGGGCCCGAGCGGCTTCGAAGCCGAAGCCCGGCCCGCCCCCCACGGGGCCCATCCCGCCGCGAAAGCGCCCCCGCCCGTCGAGGGCCCCCCCCCCGCCCGCGGCGGAGGGGGGCGGCGCGTGAGAGGACGGGCGCTGTCAAGGCGGCAGGGCGCCCGCAAGTCGGCTCCCGGTTCGGGGCCGTCTCGCAGACGCGCCCCCCCCCCCCCCCCCCCCCCCCCTTGGGCCCCTGCCACAAGATGGAGAGTGGAAGCGAAGGATTTGCCGCCAGGTTCGCGCGGCCCGCCTGCCCCCGTGCGCGAGGCGGCAGCCGCGCCCGACGCGCTTCGGGCCCAGTGGCGGCCGTCTCGCGCGTTCCGTCGCAGGCGGGCCCCCCGCCCTGGGAAGTCGCGGGGGGCCCCGCCGCACTGCGGATGCGAGCTCTTGCGCCGCGCCGCCAGGGGCTCGCGGCCAGCATGGCCGGGATGGTTTCGCGACAAGCAGCTTCACCACAAGGAAGAGACACATTCACGACAAACAAACCCACGTTCGCCACCCACTTTCGCCGCCTACTTTCGCCGCCCACTTTCGCCGCCCACTTTCGCCGCCCACTTTCGCCACGCACTTTCGCCACCCACTTTCGCCGCCCACTTTCGCCACGCACTTTCGCCGCCCACTTCGACTCACGCATCGTCAGCATCAGCATCATGATCATGATCATGATCATCATCATCATCATCATCATCATCATCATCATCATCATCATCATCATCATCATCATCATCATCATCATATCATCAATCAACCACCACCACCACCATCACCATCACCATCACCACCACCACCACCACCACCACCATCACCATCACCATCACCATCATCATCATCATCATCATCATCATCATCATCATCATCATCATCATCATCATCATCATCATCATCATCATCATCATCATCATCACCATTAACCAAAACAGCAACCACAACAAAAACATCATCATCAACTTGCTCCTGGCGGGTGCCCTGGGAGCGGACGGCGGGGAGCCGGGCAGGGACGGCCGCGGCCCTCCTGGCTGCAGTGGTTGTCGAGGGC